TGCTGTCCCCTGTGGTGTCCCCATGCTGTCCCTATGCTGTCCCCGTGATGTCCCTGTTGTGTCCCCGTGCTGTCCCCGCGGTGTCCCCACGCTGTCCCCACGCTGTCCCCACGGTGTCCCCATGCTGTCCCCATGCTGTCCCCACGGTGTACCCACAGTGTCCCCACGCTGTCCCCATGGTGTCCCCACGGTCTCCCCGTGCTGTCCCCACGCTGTCCCCGTGCTGTCCCTGTGCTGTCCCCACACTGTCCCCGCGGTGTCCCCACGCTGTCCCCGTGCTGTCCCCACGCTGTCCCCACGCTGTCCCCATGTGTCCCTGCTGTGTCCCTGTGCTGTCCTCGTGCTGTCCCCACGCTGTCCCTGCTGTGTCCCCACGCTGTCCCCACGCTGTCCCCATGCTGTCCCCATGCTGTCCCTGCTGTGTCCCTGTGCTGTCCCCACGCTGTCCCCACGCTGTCCCCACGCTGTCCCCATGGTGTCCCTGCGGTGTCCCCGCGCTGTCCCCGTGCTGTCCCCACACTGTCCCTGTGCTGTCCCCGCGGTGTCCCCGTGCTGTCCCCACGCTGTCCCCACGCTGTCCCCACGCTGTCCCCACGCTGTCCCTGCTGTGTCCCCGTGCTGTCCCCACGCTGTCCCCATGCTGTCCCCACACTGTCCCCGCGGTGTCCCGCAGAAGGAGACGTTGCCCCCCAGCCGCCTGGCCGCGCTGCCGCCGGCGTTCTCGCCGCGGGTGCTGCCGCCCCAGGCCACCGAGTACACGTTCGCCTTCATCCAGGTGCCGCAGGACGTGAGTACGGGGTCCCGCCGTGCCCCACGCCCCGGCCCCGGCCCCTCTGAGGGCCCTGACCTCGAGCCTCCGCCCCGTGGCCCACGCGTGGCCCCCAGACCCACGCCCCGAGCCCCGGTACCCCTGTGGAGCCCCAAACCATCAACCCCACACTTGGCCCCAGTTGGGAACGTTGACGCTGGGACCCAAAGGTGTCTCCTGAGCCCGAGCAGCGCCCCCAGCTCCCCCGTGTGTGCCCTGACCCCAGGCCTGACCCCGGTCCTGAACCGGGGTAACCCCAACCCCCGATGACACCGAGCCCGGCGCCCCACGCCCCGATCCCAGCGTGGCCCCAGGCCCACAGTGGGCTGGGGGTGTCCCCAAAACACCTGGGGGTCCCGGGTCGGGGGGGGATCCTTCGGGCTCTGGGGTGTCCCTGAAGGCCATGGGGGAATCTCTGAGGGTTTGAGGGTCCCTGGGGGTGTGGGGGGGTTCCTGGGTGTCTCTGGGGGTGTGGGGTGTCCCCGCTGGGCTGGGTGTCCCCGGGGTGTCCCCGTTGGGCTGGGTGTCCCCGGGGTGTCCCCGGGGTGTCCCCGCTGGGCTGGGTGTCCCCGGGGTGTCCCCGGGGTGTCCCCGCTGGGCTGGGTGTCCCCAGGGTGTCCCCGGGGTGTCCCCGCGGGGCGGCTGACGGGCGCGGGGCGCAGGAGGAGGCGCGGGCGGACGCCGTGGACAGCGTGGTGAGGGACATCCAGAACACGCAGTGCCTGCTCAACGTGGAGCACCTGGGCCCCGGCTGTCCCCACGTCACGCTGCAGTTCGCAGACTCCAAGAGCGACGTGGGGCTGGGGCTGGTCAAGGAGGGGCTGGTGATGGTGGA